GTGTTCAGCAGATAAGTGAGGGGACTGGGGTGGGGGCAGAGAGATGAGAGAGACAGAAATGTACCACTTAAAGAATCAAAAAGGCTGGGTGTGATGGTACATGCCTATAATCTTGGCCCTCAGGAGGTTCAGGCAAGAAGACAGTGGCAAATATGAAGGCAGCTTGGGATACAAAGCGAATTTAAAGGCAGCCTGAACTGAAACCCTGTCTCAACAAAGAAACAAACAACAAACAAATGGGGGAGGAGTAACAAAAATTGGAAGATACTATTATAAAAATAATGCTATTAATGAGCTTATAAAGACTGTACACAGATGATGAACCCATGGCCTTAAAAAAAAGTCAGTAAAAACTATCAAAACTATGCATGTGCCAAAATATTCACTTAAAAAAAGTGAAATGCAAAGAAAGATAAAAAAAAATCTAACTACAGGTAACAGAAAAGTTACAGGGAGAAGCAAAAAGCTGTAATGTATACACATAATGGAAAAAGAAGAAGAAAATTCCAAAAAACAGAAACTGAAACAATGACAGAGAATTTTTCAAAACTAGTGACAAATACCAAACCACAGATCCATTTATCTTGAGCATAGCAAGCAAGATAAAATACCAAAAGCAAAATCAGCCCTTCAAAAACTGCACTTAGACATATTATATTCAAAAATGCAGAAAATCAAATTCAGATGAACAAAATACCTTACATATGTAGAAGGAAAGTAAGAATTCTGTTGTACTGTTCAGAAAGCACATAAACAATAACAGGTGAAATAGGTACACATTTTACTACAAGTCTTAACTAACACAGTAAGACATTAAACTACACTCGTGCAGAGAAAGAGAAATAAATCTATGCTTGCAAACAACATCATCATCCATGCAGAAAATCCCCAAGAAATGAACAAAAAGCCCACTTTTCGGGAAGTGATTACAGCAAAGTTGCAGGACATAAGACAAACAGGTCTACGCTTTCTTATATATTAGCAATGAACAATTAGAATTTAAAGTAAAAACACACCATCATTTGTAATAGTACCAAAAGAAAAAAATTCTAAGTATAATTCTAACAAACTACATAATCTATATGAGAACAATTACAAGATGTCAAGGACAAAGAATTAATAAAATCGAGAGATTCTTTGTTCCTGGATGGACAGTATCTTCAACTTCAAGATGTCAGTTCTTGCCAACTTGATCTGTAGAATCAACAAAATTCTTAAAAAACTGAAGTTATTTTGTGGATATCAACAAACTAAATTTGTAGAGAAAAGCAAAGGAGTCCGAATAGCCAACACCATACCGAAAAGAGAACAATGTCCAAGGACTGATTCTACCAATTTGAAGACTTACTATGAACTACAGTAGTGGTGTTGACAGTATTGTATTTGTGAAAGAATGAACAGATCAATGGAACAGAATGGAGGGCTCAGAAGTAGTGCAACATGCATACATATCAACTGATCTTTTTTTTTTCTTTTTTCTTTTTTATCGGTACCAGGGATCAAACTCACGACCGCACACTTGCAAGGCAGGCACTTATGCCGCTGAGCTAAATCCCCAGCCCAATCAACTGATCTTTTGATTCTGGGACGAAGTAAGAGTTAAAAGATAAAGACTTCAACAAATGACACTAAACAACTGGATATCCACATGCAACCTCACCCATCCATGCATCCATTCACTCACCCACCCACCCACAGAACTTCCACCTTTCACAAAAATTATCTCAAAATGCAATACAGATTAAAATGTAAATAAGGTACAAAAAAAGATAGGTGAAAACCAAAGTGACCCTTGGTATGGGAAATGCCTTTTTTTACAACACCAAAGATACAAACTTGGAGAACCTGATATGTTGGATTTCATGAAAATTGAAAATTTCTGCAATGCATCATGGATGCAGATCGGGAAAAAAATACTTGCTAAATACAAATTTGATATAGGGCTGCTATAAAAATATACCAGGAACTATTTGAACTCAGTAAGAAAATAACCTGAATTTAAAATGGGCAAGACAACTCAAGGTAGAATATAGCTGAAAAATAAGCATATGAAAATGTCATTATGGATGGCAAATCAAACACCAAGACACAACCATACACTACTTGAGATAACCAAAATTTAAAATAACAACATCAAATGGTGGGGAGGGATGTAGGTAAGAGTGACAGCAGCTTTCACTGGTGGTGGGAACACAAAATGCTACAGCTTTGAAAAAAGTTCAACATACTATATCCATATGTTAGAGGAAACTTATATGCAAATTGAAGTGAAAGAAACCATTTTGAAAGTTACATATTATGTAATTTAATTACTTGGCATTCTAGAAAAGGCGAAGTTTGAAGATGTTACAAATTTTCCAGAGACTGGGGTGAGGACAAGGATAAAAAGGAAAAATATAAGGGATTTTTAAAGCAGCAACACTAATAGTGTTTGATACAATAACCGTGCATATATATGCCATTATGAATTTTTCAAAACCCATTGTATTCATCTCGAGTGAACAATAATATAAATGATAGGCTTGAGTCAATAACATGTCAGTGCCGATTAATTGTAACAAATATGTCACACTGGTGCAGTACACTGATGGTGGGAGGTGCTTTTGTGTTGAGAAAGCATGTGGGAACTATGTTTTGCTCAACATCTGCTTTTAAAAATCAGTTGTATTTTTTGATTTGCAATCAGTAATCCAAAATACAATTCCATTTACAATAGCAGCACAAAGAATAAAATGTCTACAAGCACGTGTAACAAAAATATAAATCGATACTATAAAACGATAAAATATTGTTGAAATAATTGAAGACTCTAACTTACTGGAAAAATACTGTACATTCATAAAACAGATCTCTTATTAAGATGGTAACATTAAGATGGTAACAAATTGATCTATAGATTCAACGCAAACTTCACTAGAATGACAGCTGGTCATTTATAAGCTGATTCTGTACCTTATATGGAACTGCGAGGACCCCAGAATTAATCCAAACAATCATAAACCACAAACACAAAACCAAAGAACTTTATAGGCTTACACTTTCTAATTTCAAGATTTGTCACAAAGGAATGGTAATTAAGGCAGTGTGGTACTGGCATACAGATAAACAGACTGGTATTTTACAAATAAACCCATACATGTATTATTTTTTTTTAATAGGCGTACCAAGACCAACAGGGAAGAAACTGTTCTGGATCAGTAACTGATACTGCTATAACTGAATAGTCACATGTAAAAAAATAAAAGTGGGCCCTTACTGTCATATAAAAATTTTGGATAAAATATGGGTACATGTTCATGGTCTTGGATTTAGCAATAGATTCCTTACTATACAACCAAAAGCATGAATAATATAGGGAAACAAAGAAACTGGAGATTTCATCAAAATTTAAAATATCTGTTTCAAGGGAGTGAAAGGAAGACCTACAATCTGGGAGAAAATATTTGCAAATCATACATGCTAATAAGGACTTTAAGAACTCTTACAATACAGAGATAAAAAAATTCTGACAAATAATCCAATTAAAACATGGGGGAAATTTCAAATAGTATTGTAAAATGCATGCAAATGACCAGGCATATATAAAGATGGTCAACATCTACTAATCATTATAGAAACACAAACCAACACCATTATCAGGTAACTCCTCCAACCCAGTGGGCCAGGCATAGTAAACATTGGAAAGAACTGCTTTTTCTTTTTGGGGTGACTGTGAGAGTACTACCCAGGGGCACATCAAACTATCCCCAATCTTTTCATTTTTCATTCTTAGACAGTCTTGCTAAATTGTCTAGGCTGGCCTTGAACCTGTGATGGTCCTGCCTTACCCTCCCAAAGTAGCTGGAATTAGAAGAGCATCCCAATGTGCTCAGCTTGTTGAGGATCTAAAGAAACTAAATCCTGATCCAATGCTGATGATAATTTAATGTGGGGTAGATACTCTGGAAAAACCTGGAAGTTCATCAATATGTTAAGAGATACCGTGTGACCCAGTAATTCCATTCCTACGTATATACTCAAGAGAAATAAAAAAACATATGTCCACATGTACACGACCATTGTTTTTAGTGGCCAAGATATGGGGATATCCCCAAATGTCTTACATAAACAAAGGATGACATATTCACACAATGCTATCATTTGGCAAAATAAGGAATAAGAAACTAATACACTAACACATGGATGAACGCTGAATCCCTCAGCCAGTGGTGGTGAACCTATGGCACATCTGCTGCAGTTGGCTACTTATTATCATTGAAAGCTCTGAGAGGTTTGCCATCTCTGCCCTAGGCCAAAGGAAAAAGAACTAAACACAAAGGTCACATTGTATGATTCAATATACACAAAAAATTAACAATAGGCATTTATAGAGATACAAAGCAGATTAGTAGTTGCCTAATGCTGGGGTTCAGTGAATGAATGGAGACAGGGAATGACTGCTGTTGGTTATGAAATTTCTTTATAAGGGTATTAAAAAATGCTTCCACTTCAAACAGCATCTGACCATGATTTTCAGGGATATTAGTTAACTGATTCCTATTCTACTTCTACAGTACTGAATCCAACAATGATTTAGGTCAGACTGCTAGACTCAACAGACTAAAACGAAAGTATATTTATACCTACACTTTTATTTTACTGTTAACTGAGGTATGCCTGGCCTAGATGAGGTGGTCAAAACATAAGCTAAAGACTACATGTAGAACCTCCCTAGCCTTATAATGTACAGAATATGCTGGGTCTACTCAGTATCACTATGCAGGTTCACTGTAACATTCATCTGTACAGTAATTATCATCACTGTGCACTGCCCTAAACTGTCTCACATCATCAGCTCTTCTACTAGGCTCCTGAAGTTTATAAGGCCAGTGCCAATTTCCTCCCAATTTCCCAACATCAACATCTCTACCACCTACCCTAGTGTTTTTCTCTCTTGGTGATCCCTGCTACTCAGGTTATTTCACAATCAGCACAAATCAAATGAAAATAGTTACCCATCATTTCTTTATTCACAAATATTTATTGAGCACCTACTATGCACCACACACCATTTTAGGCTCCAGAATGATACCACTCCTGCTCTCATGGAGCTTACAATCTAGTAGACACAAATAACACAGTGAACCAATACATAAAAATGCCACAAAGTGTAATTAAGTGCCATATAGGATATAAACAGTGATATGACAGAAGATAGGAGACACCTACTTTGAAAACAGAATGATTAGTAGCTGGGGGGTATGGCTCAGTGCTAGAGCCTATGGTTGGTACATGTGAGGCCCCGGGTTCTACAACCAGCACCCCAAACAACTGCAACAACAAAACACAATGATCAGAGAGATCTGACGTGGTTAAAAACTGAGTTTAAAATCTTAACTCTTCACTTAGCTGTATGACCTGAGGTAAAAGTGCAGGTTAACTTACCCTCTCAATGTTTTCACACTAGTAAAATGGAGACAATCATACCAAATTCTACAATAAATGTTCATTATTATTAATATTCAGAAAAACTCTCCAATGTCTTCTGTTTTATAAGCCCTTCATAATCTCTCTCTTCTTCCGAAGACGACATTTTTTTGACAGAAGCATTCCATCAGGTAGAAAGGGCAGCACCTATCACCTCTTGAAAAATACATACTATAATAGAGCCCACACTACTGAGAGTTGCAGGTAATAGTAACCTCAGGTGACAGGCAACTCTGCAAAGGTAAAGCAATGCAGAGTAAAAAGAAAGAGGGTGAGATGTAATCAAAATAGTTTAAAACATAGTGAATGTTAACCCATTCTGAATGACCAGAACACGCACAGCATATATGTGAATGAAGGTGGAAATGGATAAAAAGGGAGTTGCACTTAAGAATGCAGAAAAACCACTCATCAGACTCACAGAAGCATCGTGTTATCCTCTGCTTAACCTTGTTTTCCCTAAATGACTAACTGCATTGCCTCTTGTTTCTGTAAATAGCAGCAACTACGTCCAAATTGTAACAGGATAGAAGGAGAACAGCCCAAGTCTGAGGATGGACATTGAATTCTTTTCTTGAGATAGGATTTCCCTATGTAGTCCAAGATGGCCTCAAACTCATGGCAATCCTCTTGCATTAGTTTTCAACTTTCCTTTAAAAAGGCTTTCACATCCATCTTTTATAATAAATATTATGGCTATAATCTGAAACGCATCCTCTTAATTTTGTCCAGACTTCCATAACAGACACATCACAGCTACTTAATGTCACTTCAGTTTAATCAGAGGGCTTCTGAGGTAGGTCTGAATCAAACTCCCACCAAGCCCACTAAGTCACTCACTGTTATGCTGGGAAACTTATCAAAATTTTCCTTCATTTAAGTAGAGATACTACTTTCCTTTGAAAGGTTGTTGGAAGGAATGAAATATTTTCATACAGTTCTTACCAGAATGTCTGCTACCTAAGTATTCCTGATTTTTAAAAACTTCATGCTTTGAAGTCTGACATTATACCTTTTATAACTACTTTAATCTACATACTTACTACCTCAATCTACAAACATTTTTGTTTACAAATAATTCACTTTGGAAACAAAAACATTTAGCAAAATTTGCTTTCATTTGCAAGCCCTGTATCAGATGACAATACGAAAGCCATCCTCCTCGTACAAACATAAATGCGGCAATCTTTCCCAAAATCAAAAAATAAACTGAGGTACCATTGTACATTACACATTTCAACAGTGTGATGACATCCAAAGAAAGAGGAATATTCTATTTTACAGTAACAGAACACAAAAGCAGTATGGGAAGTAATAAATGTACTATGCCAATCAAAAACATAAAAAATGCTATTCCTGAAACATCTGAACATAGAAATTTGTTTCCCCACCACCAACACTTGTGTACTTAGAACACTAAGAATTCAGATCTGATTAACAACGTAAGGTAATTCAAAGTGAAACAGGCAGAGCTGGGTCCTGCTTGTGTTTTAACCTTACCACTTTTCCAGTTTGGGATGGACTGCCTTTGCCTCAGCAGATCCGACTGGCTTTAAGGAGGTCAGAAAGGTCAAAATATGAAGCCTACAAGAGGAAACAGAGAGCTGGCTACTAAGGGCTGGCCCTAGGCACAAATGGTTAAAAAAATAAATAAAAAACCTCAAAATGTAATCTGAGAAGGAATATTTACTTCACAGTGCAAGTAAAATCAGTTGGCTATCGATATGTACATACTTCTGCATCGTGTCAGTATACTCAGACAAGCCTCCACAGCCAACAGTTCTGCATTAGTACAACCGACCAATTACAGACTGAAAATATTCAGGAAAATGCTGCATCTGTATTGAGTATGCACACTTTTTCTTCTAGTTATTATTCATTAAACAATATCATACAACAACTACTTACAAACATTTACACTGTATTAAATACTATAAATAATCTAGAAATGATTTAAAGTTTATGGGTAGATAGTGTAGCCTATGTGCAAATATTAAAACAGACACTTTAGCACCTGTGCATTTTGATATTGGAGAAGCCAGTCCCAGAACCCATCTCCTTCAGATGAGGGAAAATATTTAAATCTGAGAAAGCCCAGGAAGATATCTGCTAATTACCTCCTCAGTGCAAATGACCAGTATCTTAAGGGCAGAGAATCTTAGTATAGTGGCCTACATAAAGATAAATGTTAGGTGTTCTAGAAAAATACAGCTGAACAGCTCTTTCTTGTACCATCTGGCAGGGAATGAATGACCATAACTACTTGAAAAACTGGTATGAGTCAAGAATTACAAAAATGTTCATAATCCTTGACTGAGAAATCATACCTCAAGGAATTCATCCTAAGGAAAATAATTTATGCAGTCATTGTAACACTGTGGGACTTAATCTGAAACACCCAATAAGAAAGCTTACATGAATCACTGTATGTCCATACAATGAAATACTATTTCATTAGTAATGGCTAACACAGTTTTAAACCACGTAGAACAATGCCTGTAGATTGAGGGTAAAACCAAGGTACAAAGTATACTGAAAGTGAATAAATCTGTGGAAAAAATATGCACAAGTTTCAGAAAGCCTGGTAAGAAATATGCAAAAAAACTGAGGTGCTTTTCACCTGGTGATAAAAATGCTCTATACTTTTCTGTATGGTCTAACATTTCTAGAATGAGCATGTCCTCCTGACATGAACAGAAAAACAAAAACATAGTCAACCAGGTAAGCATTCATAAATGGAGCAAATATATTTATGTATCTATGTTTCCGTAGTATGGTTCCTAATCAAAAAAGGAGACAGGGATACCAACCACTTGTTTGTTTGTAGGGCCAAACTGTTAAAAAGCAGAGAAATTCTTAAATTCTTTTCCACATAGTTCACCAATGCATGTAGCACTGTAGCAAAAAACCTGCTATGTCAAGCTGAATCACCAATCATCCATTAAAATGATTTCCACAACACATGGGCTAGTGCCACAAAGTCTAACATTAGATTCAAGCTTAAACCTGGTATTAAGTCAAGAAACAATTTCTTACGACATTACATAAAAATGGAAGAAAAAGCTGTAGGAAAAAAAATTTTTTCCCTGTAATCAATTGAAGACTAAAGAGAAAAGCCTGAGAAAAAATCAATGCTTTGTCAAAACTAACTAAAAATACGAACGTAACTAATATTCCATGGGTAGAAGAAAAAGACGTATGTATCTCAATCACACCCTTTTTAAAAACTTTTTATGATTATTTTTTAAGGGAAATTTTTTTTTAAACTTAGCAGGATATATTATATTATAGTATTTTGATTTCCTATTAACTTGATTTGAAGCCCTGTATTGCTCTCACCATCTTGTTTTGAGTGATTTTACTCTATTCTGTTCTGTTTGATATTATCATTTTGAGGGTATAGGCAACTACTTTGAAGGCAGTAAGATTTACCATGATGCCCACCCTGACTATTATCTTCTCTTGAAGTTCAGTAATGTCTCCACTGTTTAGGTTTTATTGGTTTTGTTCTGTACTGTTTTGTTCAATTTTATTATACCTGATGATATAGGCCGTTCTTTTTAAGGTAGCAAGAGGCATTATAGTAACCACTGTTGATTACTCGGTATTCTGTTTTTACATGATGTACTATGTCCATCCTTTGACGGACTCTGCTTTGTTTTGTCACATTTGGTTATATTCTCTTCCAGAAAAAGTAATAAGAACTGTGAGAGTAACAAAACCCAAAATGTTTAAATGTTATTGAAAAAAAGAGAGGAAAAGAAAGTTGTCTAACGGTCACAACTGCAAGTATGTTTAGGTGTGTAAGATAGATGACCATATTACTAAGTTTTTGTTGGATCATTGAACACAACTGTTTGCAGTTTCACTGTTTGAATGTCCACTTTGAATGCTTAATTTTGTAACTTGATCAACTATTTCTAAGATGATATGTAATTTATTAACTAGTGATTTCATACTGTTTATTTTGTTTTTTGAAATTCTGCATTACTTGTATCCTTTTACTGTTCTTTTCCTCTTTAAATAAAAAAACAGAAAGAAAAAGACATGTGGGTTATAAACTGAAGGTCCAGGATTAGCCATAGAGCATATCAAAATCAAAATCAAAATAATTTCAGTTCCACACCACTTTATCTACAATCCAACATCTTAGCTTTCTTTGAATTCCTTGTGACTATTATGAGGGAAACTTTTTTCATACCAAGAGTTATCGATCAACTAAACTACACTTTGGTGCTATGTATTACCTACACTTTGTATTTTCATTCTACTTTCCTTAGAATACATCATCGGATAAATGTCACATAACCTGGATTCACTTCAACTGTTTTATTTGACCTTTAAAATTATCCTAGGGCAGACGTCAAGTGCTTATAATCTCTCGGTAGAAGTGAAAATTAAATTCTAAATTTTCTCACTAATGGGTCAAAAAGCTAGAGAATATGATAAGCATGTCTTAGCAGTGAAGGTATGTTCAGCACCAATTACAATGCTGCGAGTTATCAAAGAAAAGCCCTTCATAGTTTTACATGAATCATTATAAAAATATAGATTATCTAAATGACTATAAAAGCAACTAGTTTCTTGCTGGCTGACATCTAAGTAACAGTTAAGATGATTCCTTCATTCTATCATACTTGAGTAAGAAGAAATCTAGACTAGCAAAATACACTGATAAAATGTTAGAATCTTTGCACAAACAATTATACCAACCATATTAAACAAAGTATATTTGCTTAAAAACCATAATGCACAGGGCCATCGCATGAAGAAGAAGTACACATCTTCAGACATCTACAAAAGCCCCAATTTTAATATAAAAACTTAAAAGTTTAAGTGTTAGCAGCCTGAGATAAAATAAACCTCTACATGTAACTTAAGTGTACAGCACCAAAAATGACTACTAAAACTATTCACATAAAACAGTGACAAAGTATCACAACTACAAAAGTCTGGGAAGTTATCAGTTCTACAAAGTAAGTATACAATTTCTAATGATGTTCTCATTTACTTAACTAAATAATTAAATTGGGGGAAGTTCTGAGAATCTAAAGTATAACAAAATATTAACAAATGTGTTTTCTTAACAAATTATACTGCACAAGTAAAGTTACTTTTTCTATCTGATTATGGTGTTAACAGACTACATTTGTACTTAAAGCACATTTCTTTCTAATAAAAAGAAATTTTGTGTCTGGATGAGACTGGATAACCTGGACTGGAATTAAATGGCTAAAAAGTTAAAACTAGTGACACCGGTTCAACTTCTGCTAGAAGTCACAGCAGGTTTTGTGTTTCTACATCTTTAATAGATGAACTTCCTTGAAGGCCACTACAGTAATAAATAGGGGGATGACACAGCCAAACAAATGTGGGAAACCATAAATTAACATCATAAATGAAGCAGACAAAGACAAAGAAACTTGAGGTGGTACCAAAAACCAAGCACAGACAAAAAGTCAGCTTCCTGAAGTTGCACCTACTTTGAAATAATATGTCTCTCTTAAAACTCCAAGTGTAGAGTCCTCATGTAGGCAGGTCTGCTAGAGAAATCAGTTAGATTAACCATCAGAAGAATGATTTTGTTTTAAAGGATATACGGCTCAGGGAGAGAAAGCTAAATATCAGGAAAGTACTAAATTGAGAATTCCAAATGATTTACAAGTCAAATGAAGCAAACTACAAAATCTAAATGAAAATGTTTCCCTATAAGTAAAACTCAGTTTTCTGAGCAATTTAAAAGTCCAACACACCAGGAAAGTGGTTTCCAAACTGCACACAGTAGAGCCACTAAAATGCAGTGTTTCAGCAAAGACAGAAGTTAAGACATGAAGAGAGTGAGCTTCAGGTCCTCTCCAACCCTTCCTAACTATAACTAGTTCCTCACACTGTGGTGTCAGAAAAGATTTCCTTTTTAAAAAGGTAGAACAAATCTGATACCGTACCTCATGTCTTGCTATTGTCTTTTCCTTAAATTTGAAAATCAATGCTGAGACAGAAGATACACTGGTTGTCAATATATGAGGACTAAAGTATAATTTCTTTCAGTGCCACTAAAATGTGTAAAGTTTCACCAAAGACGTGTGTATTATCCTATAAAATAAATGAGCAATGTAAGTTCTTGGAAAGTAAATTTTGTTATTAACATATCCATAAATCTGTTTTGTTACTGCCTTCAAACTATCACTATTTCTGGACATCATGAAGAAAAATCTAAAGAATTTCCCAACTGCACCTTACCTCAAAGGCTGGAGACAATTTCTTTCCTAAGAAGGCAAGCCTCAAATGTATAGAAAACTCTAGAATGAGAATGTACAGTTACAAAAAAGTAATATTAAGTCAGTGCAGAATCTGCATGGCATTCTTAAGTATCAACTAGTAAAAAGCAACCAAACATCAGAACTTCACTCTGCATTCACTAGCAAATAGAGTCAAAGTGCAAATGACACCAAAAGGAAATGCACAACACAGTGGCCATTTTTCTTTGATGGAATCATGAAGAAAAATGAAAATGTAGTTCCACTGCAGTGGAACCAACCTCTGGCCACTGACTGAAACTTTATTACCACAATAAAATAGAACAAATCTCTGTGGAAAGGGTTCATTCAGCAAACATGACTTCTTTCCATGTATTTTTTCCTTCACGTGGAGTTAAACAAAAGTTGCTGTCATTCTAGAATCAGTGATTACATTTTTAATTAGAAAAGTTTAAGTATTTACACAATTTTTATTGCTGTTTATCATATAACAAAAATTTTAAAATGATTTGTAGAATCCATCCAGTAACGTATGAAATTGAAATCCAATACTCAAGATACTGTTTATGACTGAATGTACCTGATGCTCAGCGTACAGGATGTGTAAAGAAGTCGTTGCCTGTCATTTGGTTCTTGCTGCTGTCATCTATGTTCATCTCTCAGAAAGCAAAAGAATCCATCTGATGGTTTCAATAAATATCAAATTCTTCCCCCCACCCCCGCAAAAAATAACTTCCATAGATCCAAAAAAAGTAGTTCTGATGAATGATTCCCAGAATCAAGTGCGTCCTTCTTTAGTCCAGTGAGATGATGTCAGGAATGCTACTTCCACTGCTGGTTATGACCCCTGTCTCACTCCTGCTTCTGGATGAACTAACATGAGTACTGCTTTCATGGGGGCTGGTGGTGGTGACAGACGTACTGCTTGCTGTTAAGGGTGAGGTGAGACTATCCAAAAACATAGGAGGACAGTACTGCTTGAAACAAACAATGATGCCGATGAGGAAGAGGCTACATTGGTTTTAAATAGAGAGACTAGAAATTGTTAGATATGCACAAATGACAGCTACATATTTAAACCTTTCTGAAACTTAAAAACTTCTAATCTTTGAGTGGAAGATGACATGAATTCATTTACTATACAGTCTCTAGAGAATGCAGCATATTTTAACTCTCCCAAAACATGGTGACTGTCTGTTGACTGTACACAGAGGTAAAAGTAATATCAACAATAACTAAAGTCATTTAATGTGAAATATGGTCCCCACAGTCATGACTTATACTTACTCTCAAAAATAATCTGCTGAGTGTATATACACAGGGTTTAAATTACACTACAAAAGGGCAAGAAGTACTTATTTTTTATGGTATGATGCAAAACTTAAAATTCAACAATTTCCCAAAATTTAGTATTAAACAGACCTCTTATAAATAGTAAGAATGACCAGCTGAATGATAGCATTGTACTTTTGTACATCTATACATAATACTTGAAGAAATCCAATCTTTATTGTGACATTTGATATTCCTCTCCAAGTGTTACTAGCATATGAATTGATTCCCATACAAATACAAACAAGTAAAATATCCTAATAATGACTGAGAGGAGTGGGGACAAGAACTAAATACACTTTATGTATCACCTAAGAATATTTTATGTGAGAAACTACAATGACTAACAAAATAGATTATGTCTAATAGAACATTGCATGAAATGTTGTCATAAAACCGTATAAAAGATCAGAAAGTATCTGATCAGTATGACCCATTTATCATTCTGCTTATCGTTACAAAAAATAAACCATAAAAGTAATTTAAAACTGAAGTTAAGACAACAAGATTTTTAAGGTTAATGAATAAAATGAAAACAGCAGCCCCAGATTTAACCTACCAGTAAGAGAAAAAGCACTGACCAAAATTCAGGCTGCCTTTCAACAGAGTAATTTAATATTCTGGTGGCTCTTGATTTCATCGATAAAATGCATGCCACATGCAAAGAGATTTAAAGGAGAATGAGGGTGAAAAATTGGTTTCTAGAGAGATTCTAAGAGCTTTAACATGTTCATGACAGTCATGCATGTACCATCAGTGGTTCAAGCTGGCGGGAACATGTTAAAGATAGTTAAATAATATTAAAAATTCTTGTCTAAATTCAAATCAATTTCTAATTTCTCTAACAAATCAATTTTACTACAACTGAGAGAAATATTTGGAGAAAAGCCCAGAAACTTACACATTTGATTCCTGCTACTTTCAGGCTGTTTTTGACTGCCTCATGGTAGAAAAAGGTAAATACCCCCCTTCATTTATAAGGTAAGGGGTATAAGCAGTCTTGATATCAATAGACTTCATGCCTCTTCTACATGTGTTGTAGCCTTTTTTAGTTTGAACCCTATGTCCCATATACATACAGCTACATAAGGATAACTGGGAATAAGTGGCAATACAGAGGTCGAGTAGGAAAACCTAAAGTTTCTTTGGTAAATAGAAGGTACAACTTCATCCTTCTACGATTTAGCAAATAAATTAGCCCACAGATATGGTGGCATATGCCTGTAATCTCAGCTACTTCAGTGACTGAGGCAGGAGGATGGCAAAAGTGTGACCAACAGAGGCAACTTGGTGAAACTATCTCAAAAAATTTTAAAAAGTGAAGAGGACCCAGGTTAGTGTTAAGAGGCCCTGAGTTAACTCCCTAGCATAGCCTAAATAAATAAAAGAGGGAGAGGGGGAGGGAGGAGGGGAGAGGGGAAAGGAGGAGGAGTGGGGAGGGGGAATCAGTTTGGCACTAACCATGCCAAATAGAATGAAACAAAACCCTCAGGTTCCAAGATTTTTTAATAGAACTGTTGAAATCAAACTGTTAAATAATTTTAAGTCTAAGAATCTACTTCCTAGGAAAGTAGCTACATTTGTTTTACAATCTACAGATACAAGGTCAACTAAGGATGACAAAAAATTCCTCAGCCTGTGTATTACCTTAGGCCCAAATTTCCCACGTTGTTTGTATTATGAAATAGAATACTGAAAACAGGAGGTCCACAGTAGCATTCTGAGCAGCCCTTGAAAGCAGCAATTTATGTTCTTCCACTGTCCCTATGTGCCACACCTGCTCTCAAAATTTCTTTTGCTGTTTCATCTTTCCTTCCTCTGCTGTCTCTGCTCTAAGCCTAAATGATGGAACCATTGCTTACTGTATACTTTTCAAGTTCAGTTTTGACAGTCTGAATCTGACAGTTCTTCAAACAATGGAAAAATAAGCTAGTGAGTCAAGTCTGTTTAATGAGCTTTCACTATGGAGGTTTCTATGTACAAAATATGTTTTCATTTGTACATAAAATTTTATCCTCCAACCACCAAGCATGGCTTCTACACATTCTAATCAACTGCTTGTACGAAGGAGCAACTGACTGTTCAATAAAATATAATTTAACAATTTAGGTATTAATGAAATATTATACATTAAAAGATCAACTTATTCCTCCAAATAAAATTGTAAAAAATGTACATAGTACATACTTCCTACTTGCCTTTTATCAGTGCAACTGAGAACTGACTGTCCTGATTTTATGCAACTGGTCATTTTTAGTTAGTATGACAAAACCAACAATCAAATACAAATTAGTTGCTTAAATTCAGGATACATACCTGGGGATCAACTGGAATAAGGGAAAGAAAATCCAAACCTAAAACAAAAATGCTTTGTTAATAGTTGTCTCATATTTTAGAGACTAGAATTATTTTCCCAAATCATACTGTACTTAATCATAAATCACAGAACCCTTGGATGCTTACCACTATGTCACAAGGAAGTCCTAAACCATGATTAGTGACATTTAATGTGTATAGAACACAAAGATGAACATATTCCCCGAAAAAACTGGAAAAAACACCTCCTCGAACTCAAAGGCAGCAGTCCAAATAATTCCAAAGAAGTAGGACTAGTCAAAGTAAGTATTTTTCTTTGTCACTTAACAGAATAAGAAGCAATAAAAATAATGAGATAATGATCTTCGGGCCATTAAAGAAAAACATACTTCATCTGTTAAGATACTTCACTTTATTTTGAGAAATACACATTGAAATTCATCTAAAAAATCATTTCTTAAACAAATACCTATTTCAATGAAAGCAAGCATAACTGCTACTCACTAGCAAGTTAATAAAAGTTTACTGGGTTCTCAGCTAATGCAGTTTTCTAAACCAATGAACTGGGATTCTCAAATTATGTTATTTAAAATACAAATGTAAAAGTATTAAAGTTATAATAATAGTAAAAAACCTTCATGTCTGAAAGTTTGGCAATAAAAGTTATTTGCTCTAGAACTCCCTATGTAACTAAATTCAATCATTTTAAAAGATTAAAAAAAAAAATCACACACCAAGTATGTCAAGACAGGTCAATGTCTATTCAAATCTGTGAATTTGTATATGCTGATAATCGGTGTCATGTCAAATGCAACAACATGGAATGAAATTCTGATACTATATTCAAAATAGAAAATATTAGTGTAAGTATTTCAAATAATAAGCATTGTGAATAGTCTTAACTGTTAAAATTTAAAGTATATTTATTCCCTTATAATCACTAAATAAGGACATTTAAATACTTAATAAAGTGATACAAACTTTAGCACCAATCATATGAAGACAATTTGTAAAGCATTTTAAAAAGTTGTTGCTATACACGTTTATTTCATGTATCTATTACTAGCTATATGATACAGCATTTGGAACCAACAATGGACAAAGGGAACCACAATTAATTTTTTCAAGAGCTTCCCCAATAAACTGGTAATGAGAAAGGTAATGTATCTCAAATAAGCAGTGCACTTTGCTTCTCATTAGGCATAATGTTCAGTAATTCTTATCTCTGGCTTCTCTTGAGTTGCAATTCAACTATTTAGAAGAAAACAACAGACATTATGGTATCCACTACAGATCTCCTGTGTCTTGCTTTGAAATCTGTTGGCACTTACATTGGTTTCTTCTGATCCAATTTGTTCTGCTTTGTTCTGTTTAGTTTTACCCCTTTAAAATTAAATTTTAGCAAAATCTGTGTAGCCCACATATACCTTCTGAAAATGTTACATAGCCAATTATTTCTAACTCACAAAATTTACTGGAATGTTTATTAGCTTAATTTTATTAACTTTTGCTTGCTTCCAATGGTGTTAACATTGTCTTTATTTTTATAAAGCATCTACTTTTAAATATTTTTAGTTGTTTTTCCATTACATTTATTTAATATTTTTCAACTCATTTTAATAACTGAAATTTTTTATAAAGCTAAAATATTGACATTTAGGACGCAATAGTGTGTACAAATGTTCAACTATTTCCATTTGTTAATTTCAATTTAAATCAACACATGTTTAATATAATATTCAAACTGTTTTTGAAGCTCCTATCACTTAAAGATACCCACTGAGGTCCACAAACTCTACCTATTTTAATTATTTCAATATCCAGCTCATCAGGTATGTTGTAAATTCTTTCTGATGTTATTACCTGTGCTAACAAATAGTCTTTTTAAAAAAAGATTTAAGAGATTTACTTGATTTGTATCTTTTGATAACATCATGGAGATAACTGAAATATGATGACCTACACAACCACATAATACACGTTCTTCTAAATTTTGGTTGAAACTAGATTGTCATTCAAGCATTACACAGATGATCAATTCAAAGTCCAATGAGGTTTTAATGTATTTCTCAATGAAGCCACTTTGCCCCAAACAGTGCAGTCTGATATAGTATTTCAGATGTTGGTATTCTTTCTAATAAAAAAAAAAAAACTGTATCATCAAAATCTTACATTTTATATTTTAAGTAGATTCAAACTCATAAAGTGATAGCATAGTTATTAAAAATTGTACTGATTTCTTAAGTTTAGCAAAATGTTACTTTCTAATTTTACTATAAGTTTCAATTGTCATACATATTGATATATTTTTTGCCCTAAGAATTTCAAGAATTTCATTGAAAAATATCCAATTATTTTCAACTAAAAAGCTATTACGGTTAAAAATTCTCAAGGAACAGTCTAAAAGTTTTTGTTTTATTAACAGTGATATTATAATTTTTAAACTTTAAATACTTCATTAAGTGAAACTGACTCATTTAGATTTTTTCTTCATCAATCACAACACGTTTTTCCTTACTTGGTTGATAAACTTTCACAAAACATATTAGCTACATGATTAAATATGTAACGGTTTAGCACTTTCAAATTTTAACGACACACTTTTTAGCACCATTCGCACCTGACAATATGGCACTAGCAATAATAAGGCAGTCATATTTTTTCTTGAAATAATCAAGCTGTTTTCCACTCCATAAATACAAATTATATGTTTTATTTTGTATTCACTGTTGCACAGTATCAGAAGATGTTCCAAGCTGCAGTTCATTATTAATAGCATTTCTTCTTTGTTCTCCTGCAGATTCAGAAGATTCATATTTATGTTTAAAAGGAATGTTAAGAAATGTATTAAAATGTTGTCATCTCTCCATTCTTGATAATCTATTTAATATTTTATTATAATTGTTAAATTTAATGAAACCAAACTGTACATTATGACTACGTATAGAACAATTACACACAAAAATAAATCCAAGTAGCTAATTCTAAAACAGCACATTAATAATAAAAACCAATGTATAAGCTAAACTATTTAGATGTAGTAACTGCCATACATTGTAAATCACACTCGACAATAAACTAGCAATACTTCTAAAAGACACCTGAACCTTTTCTATCTGATTTATCAAATGATAAGGAAACTGTTCAGCATTTTAACAATCAGATATTGGTTTATATGGACTAAACATCAGCCATGGAAATCAATTATCTCCTTAACACCAGCTTGAAATGCATATTACCAACCTCGTGACTCAGACATATTTTATGGCATCCCCTCCCCACAAACCTGTACATTCTCAAGAAGCCTTAAAATTTCTCTTTATAAAAAGCACAATTTTAAAGCAAGGTTAAATTCTCTCAAATTAAAAAAAGAAATTAATCCAGACTCTCATAATTTGAAAAATAGCAGGTTAAGTGATTTTTTTTAAGTTTATGTCTATGCTACTACTGAATGGACAGGGTCACTTAAACAGAAACATTCACTATCTTTATTCAGAGTTAATTTTTAATTCAAAGTGTTAAGGAAACAAATTATTTTCAAATGTTTACTTATTAACACATATTAATATACACAGACATTCTCCACATTAGCTAAGTTTAAAGTGACACTTAGGAAATGATATATGAACTTTTCTTTTTGTCATGGAGCATAAACTCTATTATCAGCCCTTACACAAAATGAACACATTATACTGGGTGCAAGCTGATTTTAGAAGAATTTTAAAATACTAATTCCAAAAGTATATATAGAATAAGGTATAACAAGCAAAAAGTACATTTTTAAAAGAAGATTTTGCCACTGAACCAAATCCTTGGCCTTAAAAGAAGATTTCTAATTGGTACTATTTTAGCCTACTCTTTTGCACTAAATTTGATTCAAATCATTTGAAAAAAGTTCACATGCCAGAATTATACTGGGCTGGATCAACAGATACCCATTTTTCAATAACACAAATTTTACCCAACAAAGTAAGAATTTTGCTTAAAATACTTAACTAAGGAGAAGGGAAAAAAAAGCTATAGATCAAAATCCATTTCATAAATCAAGAAAATTAGTAATGAAAAGAAGGAAATGTATTTCACTAAAAGAGTCTCCAAACAGAAAGTCATGAATATATGAGAGACTCATTTGAACTTGCTTAAATTTGACTGAGTCAAATATATGTTAAAAAAATGGCAACAGAGAAAGTGGGAAAAGGGGAAAGTTTAAATTTTATAATATGAGCTTGGCTACTTAAGTTCTGACATTAAAGTAATTTAAACAACTCTGAATTTTTTTAAACTCTGATTCTTTAAATGTTGACTAGTTACAAATATGAAAGACATTTCAAATATTAGGCTGTGCTCTGCAAAAAAATACGGTAGACCCTTGTTTTAGGGGAAAGTCCACAGTGTACAAGCTGATAGACAAAATTAGACCCAAACTACATCCATGTGCTTTGGAAGTCCTAATGGGCTAATAAAGAAGGAATGTGATACCAGAAAGAATGTGAAAAAATATTCCCCCTAACCTACAAAACTTCTATGATAAATAAACCAAGAAAGTATGAGTACAAATTCTCTGTAAGACAGAACATGGTCCACAAAAGTTAGTAATAGCCATTGTTTCCTATCATCTGAAATCTATATTTCGTCACAATGATAAATGAGTATGAATAGTGTAATACAGATAACGATTTTTGCATGACGCTTTCCAATTTCTTTAGTATTTCTTTTTTAAATTTCAAAATTTATTTGGTCAATATTAAAAACAAATCATATGAAAAAAACATTCCACATACCTGGCAAATCTGATGACATGCTTGATATTGGTGTGTGGTGGAATGGCACGGAGTAGTCTGTTAATGAAGGCGGAATAGCAGCAGGATCAACTGAAGTCACACTGGGCACCCTTACAGAAGATGGCTGATACATGAGAACCCTGTTTTAAATAGCATGGGAAATTACAAATAATCTGGCTGTTAGTTCACAGCAGAGAACAACTGAACCACTGGACATTTTTAGATGTATGCTCACCAAGAATCAAAACAACTAAATAATGGCTTCATTCAGTCTTCATTTTAACATGAACGTGTTATGGGTTCTCAATGGCAGGCATGCCATAATAGCAAGTTGGCATTAAAATATAAAGTACAGTGCTGGAGTAATATGTAACAGTTTCATCCATAAACAGAATTATATTTTATATATGCTTTCATTAATGTAACATGCATGTGGGCATCAATAATTACCTATAAAGAAATATGTAACTAAAATAAAGGATTCTTAGGATTTTATTTAAATCAACATATCTTAGTAAGTTACAATAGCTCAACCAGAATTTCTTCAAATCTAATTTAAATTGTCTTAATTGGGGCCAGAGATAGAGCTCAATGGTGCAGCGCCTGCCTGGCAAGTGGGAGGTTCTGATTTTGATTTCCAGCACCCACAAAAGGAAAAAAAAATTGTAATTTTTAAATTATCTTAATTATTTCAAATTTGGGAGTGATCTGAGTATAGCTAGTCAACACCAATGCCAGCAAAACTGATGGCAGGAGGATACAATCAGAAATCAGGATAAGATGATCAAAATTTTGGGATTTAAGACATAGTATCCAGAAATAAAATTATTCCCTACCATGATACTACTCATTCTTTAAGAGGGCTTATGGCTGTGAAATTAGCTGTTCATGCTACCAAAAAGACAAATTAAAACATCAAATACTTTATACTATATACTATTATATATATTATATAATTTAAAATGTTATAGCTTTAAGATATAGAAAAATTAAAAACATGTTTTTGGAAACATTCAGGCTTGAAGACAAATTCTGCACTCTATTTAACCTGTATTTTCTCTTAATAGCTCAGGGTAAACAATTAGAAGTTCACAAAAAAAGCTTTGTGAATATATGTTTATAAACTAACCATCATTACTGACCATTTGGCTGATCATGGTTATCTTACCACCAAGTAATAAGATACAAAGAAAGAAGCAAAATATTAAGAATAGCACAGTCAAACACTAACAGCCAACTAGTATAGGCTTAATAACAAGCCAGAAGGATCTGTTGCAAAGATAATGTTAGAAACTAAAGAGTACAATGACAAAGTTAAATTGCGATGACAACTCAGGATCCCTAGAAATCTGTTCCCATGGTTGAAAAACTTCCTATTATTGCTCAAATTATTAAATAATGGTAGTAAGAGATGATGATGTAGTTGCATGACATTCATCAAACTCTAAGATAATTGAGTTAACTTCATTTGAATGTCAACCATTTATTAAATCACTTAAATCAAAACCTTTTTAGACACTGACATCATAAAACTGATTTGTATTATGCCAAACACAAGCTGTTACTCTGTTATTGGTCAAAAATACATGTATCAAAAAAATGAAAAACAATTAAAAAGTTATCTTAAAAGTACACATGTGGCTCTGCTTGTCAACTAGTCATTCTTTATAGAGTAAATAAACAGGTCAGAATTCAGAAATCTTAAGATTTAAAACTGATTAAATTAGAAAGCATATGAAGTATGACTGTGGGTATAAGATAAGCCTACTATTTCAGTATGTACTCTCCAAAGGTATGTGAGATAGAAGGTAAGTTCCAAAGATCCACCTGTTTATGTTAGAACAAGTAGGTTTTATGAATTTCAATGGCACCTGAAGATCTAAAACAACTAACAGGATATGGGAATTACCAGGAGAGACAGAATCTGAAAGAAGAAACCAGAAACTTGGAATAAGACAAATAAGTTTTATCTACAGCTCACTGTTTTCTGGAGATCATGTACAGAATTAAAAGGAAAAGAACAGGAAATCAGTACTTTCCAATGATACACAACTCTTCTTTTCAGAAGTGTACATCAGAAAAAAAAAATGAAGGAGGGAAAGGACAAAGAGGCCAAGAAATAGGAGATAGAGCTCTATCTTACTGCTGAGAAAGAAGTAAAACAAATGGCTTTAACTGTTCTGGCGGCCTCATAGTATTATCAGTGTTATCTATTTACTTATTATTTCTCAAAATGTAAAGAAACAAGCTTTTATGGTTTTTGTTTCTTTATTGAGACAGGATCTCACAATGTAGTCACCAATCTTTAAGTTGCTATGTAGTTTAAGCTGACCTCAAATTCATGATTTTCCTGCCTCCATCTCACAAGACGATAGGTATGGATCATATATAAAGCTAGCCAGCTACCAAGTTGGCTTGTCTGTCTGTCTGCTAGCCTGCCTACCTGCCTTTCTGAGACAGGGTTTTACTATACAATTTAGGCTGGCCTTAAACTCACTTGTAGACCAAGCTGGCCTCAAATTCACAGTGATTCTCCTGCTTTAGACTCCTGATTGCTCAGATTATATAGGTCTGCCGCCATGCCAAACTTAAACTTCATTTTTTAAAACATTCCAAAAGTATATTTAATCTATTACTTCTTCTCTGTCACTGCAAGAAGCTAAAAGAACTCCAAGGTGTTGAGGGTGTAGCTTATGGGAAAGTTCATGTATGTCCCCACCCTCCTTGAAACAGAATTTCAGATTTATAAGAAAAAAGATAACACCTATTTTGCTAACACTCCTTTTCTTGAATATTTCACTAGAGATATTTTCATTTCACCTTGAATTGACCCTTTAACTTAGATCACATTTATAGGAAATAACCATCAAATTCTTTTTCTTTCTTTGACCCTCTTTTATTTACATCAAAAGATAAAAAGAAATATCCAGTCAATGTTCACACACACTGTCTTCACAGAACTATCTACAACATATGTCCAGTTAACATGAAATTTTAAATGATTAAAAAAAACTATTCTTTCTTTCATTCTTTATCAAAATACTATCAAGATGTGAAAATGCCAGAATGTAATGTAGGCACAAATTATTTCATCAACATCTAAAAGTCCAGTGAACGTATGAAAACTTAAGTCATCTTAGTGTCAACTGGTTGTTTTGTACTTAATTTCTGTAACCATTAATAGAAATCCAACTTTATATAAAAATAGTTGTTAGGATTATCAAATTACATAGTAGATTTAAGTTTTTATCAAAAAAGGACCTTATTCGGAAACAAAATGATTTTAAAACTTATGGAAAAAACAGGTATTTGTAAATACGTTCCACAGAGGAATGTAAATGGCTATGTCCTGCAGAATTATTGATCAACTGTGATGCTATATATAAATTTTAGACAGTTTTTAAAATGTCTCTTCATAGGATTAGTCAATTACACAAATAGGAACTAGTATATATATTTATGAAAGTATATATATTTTAAATTCCTATAACTTTATCATAGCACAAAATTAAACTGGTAAAATGCCATTAGTAAATACTGGTATTCTAAACTAATTTTACCATCAGAGAACTATATGAAATTCGTACTTGGCCCAGAGTTGCAGTCTGAAAACAGGTATACATGATTTTAATTCACACCTGAAGTATAGTATGTGCTTCTACTCTGTGATCACAAAAGCATATAAGATTAAAATTTAGTACCATTTTTTTAAAGGTTTTTTTTTTTTGGTGGTATTAGGGATGAAGCCCAAGGCCTTGTGCATGCTACACAAATGCTGTAACACTGAGCTACATCCTCAGTTACTTAGTGAGTCTTGATCCAGGGAAACATATATTTATCCATATTCTTTGTTTTCTGTCTTTAGAATACTTCTAACACAGCAACCATCCCATTTTTAAGGAAAGTGGCAGAAGCATAAAATATAAAATTACCTTCTAATACAGAAAAAAATCCAAATTTTTCTGAATGCTTTAGATGGTTATCAGTTTGTGCACTTTTATGCAGAAACCACTGGGTCTGCAATAAAAGGGGCTAGAACTGTCATCAAAATAGTATAGCAGTTCTCTCTGGGGCTTTTGCTTTCTTCTTAGTGCTCTGTAAAACCTTTCAGAATAATTTTTACTAAGACAATACACTTAATAAATTTTCCTTCTTATTCTCTATTCATTCTCATTTGTTTGCTATCACTGATTAAGAAGTCCTATAATAAAATGATAAACTTAGTCAAAAGAGAAAAATCACAAAACTTCAGGACGGTGAAACATGATGGTTATGGAAATAATAACTCAGGAACAAAAGCCTAGGAATAGTAAAAGACCAGAGATGATATAACCATAGGACAAGTCAACACAGTGACATCTGAACAAGATGCATCCACCTACCTTAAAACAGAAAATATGTTTGAGCACAAAACATAAACTATTAAGAGTTCAAGAAGCCCTGAAAGAAAGTAATCCCAGGTATCTATCTTTCTTTAATCCTAAATATGCTAAATGTAATAACAAAGAAGAGTTCTAGCTAATCCATGGGTTCCTTTTAAGAACTACTAGATAGCTATGACACATTTTTGTCTCATGGCTTAAGGTGCAGTCCTCAGACTTAGTCACAATCACATGTGCCAGGACAGATCACCTTCTCGTCTCATTGCTCCACCTGCACTAAGTATCAGATGCACTAAAATGCTCTTAAATAAAACAAAAACCAAAATAGAGTAAAATTGATGTGGTATGTATCCTGAATACTGTGCTTCTTTTAATGATGTCTAAGAACAAATCAACTTTATGCAGTGAACCGTTAAGTCATTATGTGAATTCTGACAGTTTATAAGCATTTCTATCATGAATAGTATTTTTTCAAAGTCCTTCAAGCATCTAATAAGATGACTATACAGTATATACCTGTTCTTATAATAAAACCCATCAATTATTTCCTAATATTAAAGCACCTGTAGGATAAACTGCGTTTTGTCATAGTGGATGTCATTTTAATACAGAGTTACATGACTTCTAAAGATTCTGACTTTTCATTTGTCTTTCCATGTGGCTGTCTACGGAAGTAATGCATGAATCTAGTTTAAGAGTTACACTGACTTCATGGAAAGAGCAAGGGTAGATGAAATTTATACAAATTTTAAAATTAAAACTTTCACAAGTTAATCGTACTTTCCACCTTGATTTGTGTTAATTTTTGTCGTTTTTTCAAATTAGATGAAGGGTTTTAACATTTATCTCTATGGTAGTAAAGCATAGTTGTACACTATCCTTACTACTCTGTGTACTGTGGTCATTTTAAATTTTATCACCTGATGCATATGCCATTCCTACAGTTTTCTGTCCTGATAAAGTACTGATAAAAACATACCCACTTAAAACAAATAGATTCTTGCGCAATCAATTATGGGTCAGTATCAATATGCTCAATCTTTCAACCAGGACTGACTCCAATTCGCTATAGATATCTACAACTGATTTGTATAGAATATTTTAAAGGATATTAGAAAGTAAAATTTAGAAATATTATATCTAAGCATTCATTTTCAATTCTAATTATATGCCACTAAATATCTGCATATTCTAATTTTATGCAGTAAATATTTGAAAAGTAGATTTTCACATTTTATCACTAATTACACAAATGCCAACCAAACTGTGTTAAAGGAACAAAAAACAATCAGCATGTCAGAAAAATTCGCTTGAATTATTTTTCTTTTTGTTCTACTTAAAATAAAATCTCATTCTAATTAAAAAAGTAAAACATATACTCTTATCCTGATACATAAATCACATTTGAAAATACATTTTAATAATGAAAAAAGCAGCTTAAATGTCTTAGTTATTAAAAGTAACTACAGAAAGTTGTTTCAAAAGTAACTATTAAAAACTGTAATTAAGCATGCTCTGGAAGTATACTGGGGTGTAATTCTTTGCATATATGACATATATAACAAGCACATTTAGAAATGAAAGTATCAGTGGTTGCCTATCGGAACCAACTGCAAAGGAATAGGATTATTCAAGTGGTGATAGAAATATTCTTCAAATATGTAGTTGTTATTTGAAAAAACTCTTAAAAGAGCTATTAGACAAAAATAAGTGGACTGAGAAACCGAAGATAAGACTAGTTCATACAGGTATGAAGGTGTTCATAGGTTGCCAAGAAACATTCCACTATGTGTGTCCTCAAATCTCGGTTGACCATTTGGACCTGTCTTTTCTTGTAGGTTGGGATGGCTTCTGTGAGATGAGTAGGTCATGGTATGTGTACAATACATCTACTAGCCCATAATTTGCACTGGAGAATATGAAAAGGGAAGGGAATCAATTTTCACTGAGTGAGTACCAGGTTCCTGACAGAGAAGGTAAGTTTTTTCATTATTTTATTGAAACCTGACAGTAATGCTACAAGGCAGGCATATTTCACCTTATTTTACAGAAGAGAAAAAAAGGAGCCCAAGCATGTTAAAGATTTTGACCAAAATCAGGGCAAGTAAACAAATGCCAGAACTGTAATCTGCTCTTGGAAGATGCTCAGTATCATACTTTTTTACACCAGGCTTCCTCATGTTTGCCTGTAATGCAAAATTTCCTAACACAGGTTCAAGAAATTCACAAAAGGTTATCAGATATGAAATAAATATCTCAAATTCTCATTTCCTAGAGATGTGAATATTTTTGTAAAGAGTTTTGCTTTCCTATAACATACTTATATGAAAATATTTCATGTAATAGGAGGTAAATTAAAACTGTCTCCTATTCAGCTTCCCAAAGAGACATTTAAAAAACCTAGCCCAAGGACAATTGTTAAAGTATACTGAGCAATAGTGAACTATAAATTAACAAACCCTTTGGTTGGGCTGCTTTGTGTTTCTGACATAAAGATGCATTTCCTTTTGGCAGGAGCGTCTTCCTCCTCATCAGAAGAGCTTTCTATTGTTAGGTCAATAATGTCCACTTTCTTCTTGCTTGCTTCACTGGCTACAGTAACAGAACAAGGCTTACTGAGGACAGCTGAACCTTAGATGTAAAGAAACAAAAAGGAAAACAGAAACATCAAATAAACTCTAGCCATGACAGTCTTAACTATGCAGTGCATCTATGGCAATATAGAGCAAGGAAAGCCACATACTCAGTCCCACGGACACAAACCAGCTAACTCTAGATGGCTATAAAATGACTGTTTACTTAGAAGACAGGAGGTACGAGCATTATTTCTTGACAAGGAATCAAAAGCCTCCTTTAGGTAGCATACCCTTAGTTCTCTCAAATATTGTTACTGGGTTTATGCAGATCGTTCTGTGGCTCAAACTGTCTTGACAGGTTAGCAGCCATTCTACAAAACAAACCAGTTAGGGAACTGTTTTCAGACCATGGGAAAAAAGTATGTGGTTTCACTATCTGCATATTTTTCTTATATTTGTGGTTAAGTCAAAATCAGATAATTCTATTCTAGCAAATCTGTTCATACCAAAGAATATGTAAGCTCCTTATTATCAACCAGAACTTTATTTAAAAAGAAAAAAAAAAACCCACATTTGCCATTTGTTATTCATTTACAGTTATTCTCATGAATTATCTAATCACTCAAATTCTTTCTACCAAGCTAGTCTCATATATATTAACTCACATTTTCATAAATGTATTACTAACTTACCATTTTCTGAAAGATGATAGGAAACTTGGTGAATTCGATTCTGAGTTTATACTATATAATAGGTACTATACAATACTGGCACATATTCACTACATTGTGAGAAATTTCAAACATTAAAAATGAAACTCAAAGCCAATGAATAGACTAGATCAGAGAAGAAGAAAAAAGAAACAACACTGAATTTACCCACGGATTTCTTTTTTTTTTTTTTTTTTTTTTTTTTTTTTTTTTTTTTTTAAATTTTTTTTCTTTTTCTTTTTTTATCGGTACCAGGGATCGAACTCAGGACCGCCTGCTTGCAAGGCAGGTGCTTATGCCGCTGAGCTAAATCCCCAGTCCCTACCCACGGATTTCGATTTACCTGTTTACCTATGGGCCTGTAGTATCCCCAACTCATCAGGGAATTCTAAAGATAAGAATACATTCTAGGTAATTATGGCCACAGCCCTCCCCCATACCAACTAAGGGAAACAACCTGCTTACTGTACCTCCTTAACAACCCTCTATGTCTACCTCCCTCCTCACTCATTAGTGTATCTCTAAATATGTATCTCTAAAGCACACCTTCACCAGACGCTGTATCTATAGGTACTCTTACAATTCTGAAACACTGCTCATATCAGTACCATTTCTGACATTGCATTTTATAACAAGTATCATCTATTAAAATTAGTTTAGGTGGTTGTTTCATATATAAATGAAAAACACTATAAAAAACTGGTATAGTAGTATAAATAAACAGATTTCTTAAGGGAAAACATTACAGATGATCAAAAGATAAAAGTTAGAAAGTGAACCTCAAAAATAGTTCTCCTGGCCAAGATCAATAATAAAGACAATATCCTCTTAAGTCTCAGTGCTCTGCTAGGACTTATGCAAGTCTCTGCTGTCATTTTGCACATACTTTCTATTTTTGAACATGGTTGGCTGGATACTTTCATGGCTTCTTTCTTCGGCCTCATTGGACACCAAGAACCATCTTCTTGGAATTTGATTTCATCCACATCAGAACAGTCATTGAGAATTTCCATAAAAAGCCTGTAAACCAATTGAGAAGTACAATACAAACATGTTTATCAATGGCTTTGTTAAAATTAAAGAAAGTAATATAATTTGGAAGACTATTTTTGTATTATAATACTTCAAACTACAACTATTAATGTACTCTTCTCCATGGAGAGATGGATGGACAGACTTACTTACTGTGGTACTAGAGATCAAACCCAAGACCCTGAGGATGCTAGGCAAATGCTTTACCACTGAGCTAGATCCCTTACACACATTTTAGCCCTATAACATCAACACAAGAATTAAGTGACTTACTGAGCAATATTTATAGTCCATGACTAAAATAGAAATGAAGACCTGGAGTTTCCTAGTAGGACTGGCAGTTAAAACATGTTCCTGCCAGCTTGAACCACAAGTGGTATACACATGACTATACTATCATGTGGCATAAACTACAAATGGTTAGCTATTTAACATCAAACAATGAAACTAAAATCAGAGCAGCCAAGCAGTAAGACACATATATTACAGCCCATAAGGAATGTGTTAAGAATAACATATGGCACAACACATAAAACAAATACAAGTAGACAATGGTAATAACGTATAAGCTTAATATCAAGAAAAAAAAAGGAATGGAGAAAAGTAGGAACAGAGACACAAAAGAAGTCTCAATAAGTACAATTCAAAGCATACAAAATATTTTCAATGACAAAAAATGAAATTAAAATTGAAGTCAGTATCAAAAAATATCTGAAAAATTTGGTTATATTTATAAGCTACCCATGACACAAAGATAAAATTTAAAAACCAAAGTATTTTGAACCAATTTAAAGTTTAATAAAACATGTGAAATGGAGGTGGCACAATCATGTGATTATAAATTAAAATATAATAAACCGTCTTTGTTTTATACCATACACAAAATTAACTTCACATACATAGATCTAAATGAAAAAGTTCTTACAAAACTACAAAGAAAGCATAAGAGAAAAAAATTTTATGTTGAGTAGAAGGGAAAGCCTTAATATGATATCAAAACAACTGCTAAAAGAAAAAGTTGATAAATAGGGGTTCACCCAAAGAAAAAACCTTTTGTGATCTGAAAAACAATGTTAGAAACTGAAAAGCGAAAATGGCAGAAAAACCTTTGTAAACATGTATACAGAATACAGAACTATTAAAACTCAATAATATGAAAATAATTTTGGTATCATTTAAAGAAAACATTCAGGTAGAGAGTAAACAAGTATAAAAATGCTTAATGCAATTAGCAATGAGAAATGCAAATTAATTTTACAATGGGTTACTACTATATATCAATACAACATCTAAATTTAAAAAGATTATACTGGTTCTCTATACAAAATGCCCAGTAAAGTCACAGAAACTGTCCCTCCTACAGAGCAGGACTTAGGAGTTGCCACAGCTCCAGGCTGAAATAGGGTCAGGAACAGAATGTGACAGTGATGTATTAGAGTTTGAGGAGCAAGATTCTACATAAGCAACTACACAACAAGCCGCGCTGGCAGCAGAAGCTGAAACAGATGATGGCCAGTCAGTAAAGCAAAACAGAATCGGAGTGAAAAAAAGGCATGGAAGGCTTTCGGCAGGTTACAGAGGTTACTAGAGTCACTAACCAGAAACCTAAAAATACCCTCTTTGTTATCACAAAACCAGGTATCTGTAAGAGCCCAGCTTCAAATACCTACATAGTTTTTAGGGAAGCCAAGACTGAGAATTCAAAGTTGCTGAGAAATTCAAAGTTCAAGTTGAAGCTGTCTCAAACATTCAAGAAAATACACAGACAAACTATACAACAGTAGAGAGAAAAGGAAGAGGCTGATGAAACAGGCGTTGAGAACTGGTTATGTGACAAGCAAATGGGTCAGGGCAAAAGTGGTCTGAGCCCTGAAGAACAACAGTAATAACACTGTAAATGCTATTATGGAACTAACAATGTAATAATCTAATAAAAGGACCTTATGGTGTTTCATAAAGATCACTGCAGCTTGGTTTGAAATTTGTGCTATTGCTATCACTAATATAGTTATGACTTACTAGAAAAAAATAAAAAGATTATATCAAATACTGTTGAAAATACAGATCAATTAGATTTTTCTCAGGCTGTTAACTGGAATATAAAACAACACAAGCACTTCAGAAAACAGTTTGGTAGTGTTCTGGGCATATACTTAGAAGTGACCAGATATTTCATTTGAAATATTTGCTTAGAAGATAAACAAAGACATCAGACACACAAGGATTTGGGCATGAATATTTGTATAAGTATTTGTAGTAACTCAAAATCAGAAACAATCCACTGAAGCTGAAAACATAAACCACCTTTGGTATACAATAGAATGTGACTCAATAATAAAATTAACTGTTGGCACATGTAGCAAAATGGAAGAATTTCAAGTATGTATGGTTAAGAAATGCAAGACAAAGGAATCGATTCATACACAATTCTAAAAATATCCATATCAAATTCTCAGATGATTTAAAAGAACTGTACCAAATGCTAATATACTTCAGTGATCTTTCCATATACATACACACATCAAAAATTTTGAGAGGGCCAGGGTTATAGCTCAACAGCACAGCACCTGCCTGACAAGTGTGAGGTCGTGAGTTCAGTCACTGGTATCCAAAAATAAAAGTGTGTGAATGTACATATTGAGAACATGTTTTAAAACAACTGTGGCACAAGTTAACAACTGATGCATCTGGATCAAAGTAATTCTGGAAGTTACTTGTGCCACTGACGCAACTTTTCTGAGTTTGAAATTATTTCAAAATAAACTATAACTATTATAAAATAACCAAGAAAAACAGAAGTTTTGAGAAAGGTGAAAAGTCCCATTCACTCTTCATTATCTTTTTCCTCTACACAAGTCTTCTAAAATAATTTTCACAAAAAATATTGTAGAAGTATATTTCAAGTTCTAGAATACCTTGCATTGTGTATACTGAGGAAAAACCACATGTAAATATAAACTAAGCAAAGTTATGATCAGAATCTTTTTAATACATTGATAAACAGTCAATACCATAGAATGGCACTGATTACTTCATTCAATTGTATTTTTAAATCTGTATATCACTGTGTCTACAGGACAAAGGAAATTATTTTTTTAAATGTCATATGAAAAAAGGATACCTTACTGAAAATACTTGATTTAAATTTGCATATTCTGACACAAGCAATATGATCTAATTAAAGTTTAGAATTTGGGATTCAGAGTCAGAATAATCTGAGTATGGCTTCCAATTTTGAATTTACCTGCAATGTAATACAATTTTTCAAAATCTACCCTATTCCCTGTTCCTCTGTTTATTTCAAAGACACTACTATTACAATGACTCTAATTGCTATTGCAAGAAATTCGAGGTAAGCAAAATGGTATCACTAAGCAGCCTTCTCCCTCTTTTCTATGGACTTTTTCAACATATGGTCCTTTTTTTTTTTTAGGTCTTTTTCGTTTTTATCGGTACTAGGGATCGAACTCACGACTGCCTGCTTCAAGGCAGGCACTTATGCCGCTGGGCTAAATCCCCAGCCCCACAACATATGGTCTTGAGAAGAAAAACTAAAATGAAAACTACGTATTTTCTTGTTCCCAAGACAAATCATGTTATGCTTAGGCATTTTCATCCAAAAATCTGAAAATTTTTATAACACTAATGTTCAAAAACTTTCAGATTTTGAATTTGGCATTTCCAGGTTAAGGATGTTCAACTTGTAAAGTTTATGCAAGTAAGAAACACTGACTAAAATGAAGTGTAACTAAAAATACACAAATATCTTGAACTTATATACCAGAATGGACTATACATTAAGCTGTGCTGAAGGAAAACACAGCCAATGGGTATTTGGAAGGAAACAGAAAAGACAGTACTCATTAAGAGATGTTGGGTATATAGCAGAGTGTAAAGACCCTATGTTCAATCTTTAGCATTGTCAAACCAAACCAACCCAACCCAACCCAACCCAAGCAAAATTGAGGTTGGCATAAAGAATTCACGGTAAAACATGCTTAACATTCATGAAGACCTAGGTTGTATCCCTAGCACAACAAAAGCACATACTCACCCATCTAATATTAGACTTTCATAGGCAGCTTTTTTGTCACACACAGGACAAATCCAAGTGGGCTTCTTTTCATTCATTTGTAGATAAAGGGCAGCATCAAAACACTGCAGATGTGTACATGTCACTGCACGGCATGGGATTGTTAGTCTCATTTTTCCTAGCTATAGAACAAAAACACAATATGGAAACTACTTCACAAAGGAGAACAAAGCCTCACAGGGAACAGAAACAGTAACTGTCTGAAGAAGCCATATAAAAAGATAAAGTAAAAATTTATTCCTACCAAGATTACTTTTGTTAAGTCCATTTGACTGCGCTATGATTTTTGAAAAACTACTTTACTTTTAAAAGGTAGAAAAAGATACATATACAGTACAACGAAAAGAAGACACCTCACCTGATGCCCATTTGCCATACTTAAAAAACCACTGTTACACAATTGTGGCAGGTCTTTCCATGTGTTAATCAAGTGCATATTTAAGAAAATGTTTTTCCACAAACGGCGTATTTTGTACAAAATTCTATCAAGTTCTACTAGTATTAAAATAAATACAGTATCCTGGTTAGATTAGGTTTCCAGTACAACCTTTAAAACTTCCCTATATATTTCCTTCACAGAAAATAACTCCATTTCAAACCAGCTCTGTTATTTTGTCTAAAAATTTGTTTCTCCTCCTAGGTCCTAAGCTCCACAAGGACAGAGTACTCTACATTTATTCTTCACCATAATCTCACAGTTTTAGCACAATGTGAACTCATGGTACATGCTCAGTACTGATGGGCCAGGCAATAAAACACATGAGGACTGAAGAAAAGGCAGAGAGATGTAAGAAAAGGAAGGATTTCTGCATATGTCTACAGGCAACTTCATGACAGAATTATAGCACTCTTAACTGCTTCAATGATAGAAATTTCAAAATGTTATTATTTTTGGTTGATCTACAGTTTAAGTACATTAAAACAAACATTTGGATATTGTATAAATAAAATGATTTAGCCAAATCAACATGGCAGTAATTTTTACAAAATTTATACCTCTGCATAAAGCACAATGTTGAGTACTTCCCATTTGATTCTAAAATACATTTAATATACCATAAAAATATATTTATAAATCTAAAATACCCCCCCCCACCCCGTACTGCGAAATAAACCCAGGGCTTTCACATGAGCTACATTCCCAACACTACCTTGTATTTTTAAGTTTTTTATTTTGACAGTCTCACTACACTGCTAAGTTTCCCTAACTGGGCTCTAAATTGAACTCCTCCTGTTCAGCCTTCCAGACTACAGGGATCACAAGTAAAATAACGACCACACCCAGGTCCCAGTTTATAAATAAAAAACTACTGGAACAAAGACACTAGTAACAAACAAACAAATATTGGTGCATTGGTGGTGTACAGTTGTAATTCCAGCTAAGGAAGGAGGGATTGCTGTGAGTTTTAAGTCCACCCTTCGATATATGGTGAGTTCAAAGTCAGTCTGAACTGACAGTAAGACCCTGTCTCTAAAAGACTAAACCAAACCAAACTGAACAATAAGCTGAGCAGTTTAGCAGTACAAAATCAGAAAACAAGAGCAGCAATAAGTGAGTCATGTAGTCCATTCTTGTCACTATGCTACACTGCATTTATCTAACTATGATTCTAAAGGACACTTCAGCGACTCAAAGTAAGCAGTACAATATAACTTGTCTTTTTAGGACAGAAAAAAGAACAAAAAGTGAAGCAACTTCTCTTACAATGTTCTTCTATATTTTTGCTTCCTTTAACACAGATTATATCTGCAGTTATTTAAAATGTTATTGTATATTCAAAGCTTTTCTAGGAATTCCTATAATACTCATCATAAATAAGCTTATTACCCAGAATAGCTATTATCTCTACTTGTATTTTGAAATGAAGATGCAGAAACTACGAGAGGCCAAAACAATTAGAAATCAGATGGTGCAGTTACAAGACAAATTCAAATGTTCCTTGCTGCTTGCTGCCTGACATGTCACTAGCTGTGTAATATTATAGGTAGTACTAGCTTTTGGGTTTAATTCATTAGCCTTTTCCTATTCCATAATATTTTTTGTTCCTTTAAGAATGCTAGCTAAATACCTATTTTGCACTCAATGAGATGATCATGGTTAAATGTACCTTTCAACTAAAGGATAGTTTAAACATACATACTGTATTTACTCAAATCAAACTATCTTTGTATTCCCAAAAGGCATCCCTTTGTTATTATCTATTGCAAAAGGTACTCATCTCATGATAGTCGCAAGCTGGTAGTTGATTTAAGATCATGTGGCACAATGCTTTAGCAAAAAATTCACCCTCACTTTGCCCATGTTCTGAGACTTTTTGAGAAAGTGAGATTAAGAGCAGGGGACTAGGGGCTGGGGATTTAGCTCAGCGGCATAAGCGCCTGCCTTGCAAGCAGGCAGTTGTGAGTTCGATCCCTAGTACCGATAAAAAAAAAAAAAAAAAAAAAAAAAAAAAAAAAAAAAAAAAACGAAAAAGACAAAAAGAAAAAAAAAAAAAGAAAAAAAAGAGCAGGGGACTAATTATTCCAGTGGAGTAAATCTCAAAGCAGCCCAACCTTTAGGCTGTGGCATGGGCACTGCTGACCAGATTTACAACGAAAACTGGGAGCAAAAAATCAAATGTGAAACCCCTGCAGTTGTGTCAGAAAAGAATCGCCTACAAAAATGGGACAAAGGAGTAAACTGCTGCCAAAAAAGATATCTCCACAATAGGAAAGGTTTGAAGGCATCTCAAGGATCATTAAGACCCCCCACCTACCCTTAGAAGGCTCATATAAGGTTTTCATCTGAAAAGACCCTGGGGCACCTACTCAAGAAGGGCTACACTGGGAATTATTTCCCCAGCATTCATTTTACTGTGTTCAGCCATCCTGACACTCACAGGCAGCAGACTGCAGTGTCATCGACATAGTGTTACTCCTATGATTATGCAAAATGCAAGAGATACATGGTCATGGAAGCTTCCACCCTGATTTCAACAGAAGATCTGGGAGCCCAGGCAGAATGCCCCTGAAAAGGCAGTATATAAAACTGAGAGTTAAACTAAAGCACCGTGGGGACCACCAGACTCTAGAGATACAAAGAATATGGAATATCTGCTGAAGAAAGTCAAAGGAAATGAGCAGAATCAGCCCAAGCCAAAAAGCCATGAGGGCTGCAAAACATCAATGTCACAGGTGTAGGGCTCCCCAAGTCCTTCTGAGCTAACATTGTGCTACAACTTGCCCCAGACTCTGGACACTGAGCTACAGGATTTAATGTTTGCATGACTGGGTTTGTCTTGCTTTGGTCTGATTTCTATCTATTGCCCTATTCCTCCCTTTAGAAATAGGAAATGTTTAACTTTCTCTCTCTCTCTCTTTTTTTTTTTTTTTGATAGGACTAAGAGTTTGCCTTAGGTCATTTTGGACTTAAAACTTTTCAGCAATGCACTTTGTATAAGAAGGCAGTAAAATTTTTAAAAGCCAGAGTCAGTATACTATGGTTTAGATCTAAAATAGGACCTAAAATTCTCGTATTTGGAGGTGTGGCCTCCAGGATATGAATGAGTCACTGAGAGTGTGACCTAAAATGTTATAGTCTCACTTCCCTTCACTTTCCACATTCTAGTTGCCATAAATTGAGCACTTTCCCCTCTTCCATGCCCCTTTGTCATCCGTTTTCTGTCTTGGAGCCGGTCAACCACGGACTGTAAGCCAAAGTAAATCTTCCCTCCTTTGAGTTATGCCAGGCATTTTGTCCCAGTTGACTAATACAGGTAGCACTTTTCTTAAAGGAATTTCTAATCAATATAAATGAGTTTGCTTTTCATTTTTATTATTATAAGTGTTTGCCAACAACCCCAAATCATCACTACAATAGGTACCCTGGAATCTTATATTTCTATTTAATTGTTTCTATTGTTCAAATAATTTCATAGTTAAGATGTGAAAAAATCTATGACTTAGAGCTTATTCACCCGCCCTCTTGGTAAGCGCACGTGGCATGGACCAGGAGGAGAACCAGAGCTCCCGAGATCCAGCCATGGTGGGACTCAAGCAGCTTATTCACCCGCCCTCCCGGTAAGCGCCCATGTGGGCCAGGAAGACAACCATTACCTGTGAGCCTACTGCCATGCAGGCTGAAAATCAAGCACCCTTTCCCCACCCCCATTGCTACTGGGGATTGATGTCTCAGCATCTCTTGGGAGGATGACCATATGCAATATAGCAAATATGGGGGATTTCCTTCTATCTTCTGTTTGAAGGCAAAGGTTGTTTTCACTGTTTTGTTATGTTTCTTTTACTCTATTCAGTACTCTCAACTGGTTTTATAATATTCTATTTTTGATTTGATTTTGCTATACCTAATTGACTGGACAACTACTGTGAAGTTAACAAGATATACTTTAGTACCTATTACTACTATCCCAGTATCCTACTGTGAAATCCTGTACCAATTTCACTGCATTGTCTCAATTGGCTTTGTTCTGTCTCGTGCTGTTGCATTTTTACTACTTTCAAAATAAAATTAAAAAAAAAAAAACTATGACTTGGTTGTTAATTTCTTTTTTTAAATAATATTCTACCTCAGACCTCTTTTAAAATACTAGCTCTCAAATCTTTGATTTCAAAACCCTTTATAATGTTATGCCTTGATGTCCTCCCAGCACCTTTTGTATTCACAGGTGGGGCTTTATGAAGGTAGCTGGATCTAAGGTTGGTTCTATGGAACACGTGTATTACATCTTTTTTAAAAACAAGACATGCTAAGATATGAGTTGTTTTTTCTAAAGTAAAACCTCAGTACTCATATGTTTTACTGCAATGTTGACACTTTGCAATAAGTAAGTCGGCTTTGGGTGATAGCCTAGGTGCTTTTTCTAAAAGGGTTGACATCACTGATCTAGTATGTGTGAGTATGGATAGAAGGTGTATGATAACTAAATCAGTCCACTGGCTTAGCATAGTTCTGGGTGTTGATAATGAGAAGGTCCATCCTAGGTACCAACCATTATGGCTTGTAGCTTGGATGGGATAGAAGGCAAAGGAAGACTTGCTGCTACTGTTTCCGTATTGCCCTTTTCATAGACTGTTTCTTCTCTGCCATGTCTCTCTGCCTTCAAGCCAGCTGACTATGAAGTTTCAGTAAACTATGAGTTAAAAATAAACCTTTCCTCCTTTACCTTGTGGGTATTGGGTATTTTGTCCCAGTAAAAAGAAAGTAACTAAGACTAACCTTTAAAAACTAAAAACCTTAGCTGTTACATGTTTGCATGGACATCAATATTTACTGTATTAGAAATTTAAAAATACTTTAGAAGACAAGAGTGCACAAGTATCAACCTCAAGAGCAATGACACAATCACCTGTCACATAATGTTAAACACCACTAAGAAAGAGAGGGGGGAAAAGGAATGAAAATTAGAGAGGGAATGAAAATTATGAGGGCTGGAACTATAGTTAAGGGCAGAACACATTCTCAGACTGTTCTCAAAAGACACACACACACACAAAAGGGGAGAAAAAAAGATTCTATGTTAGTATTATAAAAAGTTGACGGGACTCCCGAGTCTTAAAGAGAGCCTTAGGTATCCCTAGGGACTTTTTCTGTTTGTTTTTGGCACTGGGAACTAAACCTAGGACCTCTGTACTGAGTTACTACATCCAGCACTTTTATGTATGTATGTATGCATGTATGTAACTGGGGTGTTGCTAAGTTGCCTAGGCTGACCTCAGATTTTTGATCATCCTGCTTCTACCTCTCAGATCGCTGGGAACATAGGCATGTGCCTCAGAGTTCCCTGTTTGCTCATTCACATTTTGTAAACCATTATTTTTGTGATTTTTTTACTTCTGTGCCAATTCATCTTTCTTATTGGTGCCTTAAAATTTTTACAAAGTAACATTCCATATTATAAAGTTGCTGACCCTTAATTGTACACTAGTTTCTTACAAGAGTAAATGAACATTACCTAAATGGGAAAGAGATTTATTACTATCTGGAAAAGTCTGACCAATTTATAAACACTGATAATTTCATGTTATTTAAAGAGATTTGAATGTGCTGAACTCTGAAACATGTGACAGTATTTACTTGAAATTTTGCAGTGCACTGTTTTTATGAATGAAATCATGTCTACCCAACACAATACTTTTTTTGTATAAAATGTTATGCAGGCAAGTATAGCTAAATTAGTATTTGCTTCATGTATACTAGTAGGAATTCAAATTTTCTTAAGTCCTTGATGTCAGTCAGTGGTTCTGAACTACTTTTAGCAAAATTTAAAAATTTCATATACTAACTTATATATATGTATATGAAAGATCTTTTAAAAATATTTTGAAGTTTTTAAATATGATGGTTAGGGTCATTGTGGATCTTAAGGGGAAATTTGATTTGGTTCTTATCCAATTCAGTCTGCAACCAGAATCATGGAAAAAATTAAGGTTGAGAACCAATGTACCACTATACTGTGTGAAGTTACCTTTTGGAGGCCTTAGATTTGGGGACTTTTTCCCACTACCCACCTTCATGTTAATTTCACAAATGTACTGTGAAATAAACATTTCTTCTACCAGTCTAGCCCCTGTCAATTTCTCTTTTTTGTGAAATAAAAACAAGGTTACTTTTTCCCCTTCCAAGTTCTTATCTTTTTAGAACCTATTTTTTTCCTGCTCCATTTTCTGTTACTATACCAGATTCCACATTATTTTCATCATTAGCTGGCAAGGACTCCATTCTGCTTTTTCTATCTGTTGCTAGGATTATGTCTTCCTCAAAAACTACTTCCATCATCTAACTTGAGTCATCTACACATTAAATCTCAGACTAACTTGTATCCGGTTTTATAATTTATACACATTATGTATTACACTTTAGTATTCACATTATTTTATTACTATAATGGTTCAAAGAGTATAATTCATTCTTTTCAGAAAAGTGCTCTTAAATCAAGTAGGATTAAATTTTAAGTAAGGGAAAGAGTCTTAGAAACATACCTTTTGCCACTGTACATAGAGAAAGGAAACAATTTAAAACAAGACAAAGGAGTTGAGGGTTTAGCTTAGTTGTAGAGCATGTGCTTAGGGTTTGAGCCCCAGCACTGTGAAAACAAACAGCTATTTCATATATCTTATTTCTTCAAATAACTGAAAAGTTGACTTTCTTAAAATTGACAAGTTTGAAATGAACTGCTACCAATGCTTATATGAAAGGAACCCTAACTACACTGATATTTGCTGCTATTAAAAGTCTTAGAATCTTTTAATATGCCTGGTCCCTGTATTTAGTTTTGGCTGTCCTCATGTAGACTGGCAGGCATGTAAAGGGTGATAAAATTGTAAGAAAATAATATACACAGAAAATAACATTATGTAATTGTTGAACTCACTGAAAACTGTAAAAGCACTTTGTTCTGGACAAAATAGTTTGACACACTAAAACAACGATGACATGAGTTCCTTCCCTGTACAGTGGGTTAACTATAAACGGTCAAAATTCAACTTGTTTTTGACTAACAAATAGTAATTTCAATCACTTCAATCTAACATCCATTTTAATTTTAATGAAAGGAGGAAAATAAGTTAATGTAGAGACACTCAAAAAAACTTCTGCCTGCTGGCTACATAAACCTTAGGAACACAGAAGTCTGTAGGTCCTAACACAAGGCCACAATTATCAGGATTACTAATACGCTACCTTGCAAGGACTGCGGATCTCTCAATTTGGTAACAATAGCAGTCTCAATTCTAAGCATTATCAGCTTCACAAGACTATATTACTTTTCAACAAAGGAAAGTTACATTTTAAAAAACTAATGATAAAAAAATAAACCTTCAAAAAGAATAATAACTGCAAACATCATTCTACAGGTTAATACGATGCATATTCATACTCAGGACATGTACATTTGAATCCAATTCTGGCAATACAGTTGTTATAAAGAGAACTAGAATATCAGGAAGAACAGAATTTTTAAATTTTTAATTTAAAACCTTTAATTTTTGTTCTGTTAATTATGTGATGTGGTTTAACAAATCTCTATCAGTTTTGGATTTTTCATGAGCAAAATCAGGACAATTCCTCAACAAAAGCTTGCAAGGATAGCTAAATAAGACATAGGAACTTCACAAATTATTTCTTTCTTTTCTTATACAATCTGTCTTCATTAAACTCACTTTACATTTTGATAATGCTCCCCCAACCGTATTATACATTTCTCATTCCATAATTTTTCTCTTGTTGAAAAGGCATCCTTTCATACTAATTTTATGTTTTGTTGAGACAGGATCTCATTATGTAGAGTTCCATATGGCCTTGAATTTGTGATGATCTTCCTGCTTTAGCCTTCTGAATATAGAACTACAGGTATGAACCACCACACCTGGCATTCATGCTAATTTTAAGGCTTTATCCATCTTTCCTGACCTCTCCTACCTCTTTACATGTGATTAAGTACAGTCTGTTTTTACATGTTAGTTGACTGCACCTCTTAAAATAGGTTATTAACTTTTTGACAACTTCACAGTAAATCCTCAGTTATTTTTCTCCTAGTTAGTTCAGTACCAAACACACTGGACCTCAAAGTAGCTTGACTATTCAAGTCTCTATGTAAAGAGATACAAAGTACATTACATAGATGTTTCAAAAACTGTAACCTATTAAACCAAAACCACTAGTTGGCATTTATCAGTCTCTAGTTCTATAAAAGGAGCTAGTTCTTCGTATGTGCTTATTATAAGCTGTGGACTGATTATTATCAGCATTAATTTTGGTAAGATTATTCTTAGCATAAAACTTCTCTTCCTTCTGTAATATGAAAGCCTTTCAGGTCTCTTCTAGCTTTATCATAACTGCAGAATACAAAGATTTATAATGCTAGATCATGAAGATTCCTAAATGGGAGGCAGGGTAGTATTCAGAATTCTACCAAAATATGTTAGTGATTTTTACACTTGCTTTACAGGAAAATTAGTCATTTATTAGAAAAAAAAAAACTTTCCCAGAATATTTTATAGCTTTACTTACAGGACACGTTAAAGACACCCGAAGACTTGTTGTAGCAATTTCACTATCAGGATCTGCAGTAAGTTTTTCTTTAACTTGAAAAAAGGAAAAATAATTAAAATGTTTAAAACTAATGATGACATATAAGCAGAATTTTTAAATGGATCTTCCCTGTAAATTTCCCACTTTTGAGTAAATCAAGAAACACAAACTGCTAAATATTAATGTACTAAAAATACAACCATATTCCCAGTACCATATCAGGTTTAACAATTACGAATGCACAAACTTTGGATCTTATAAGACTTCTGTTTAAAATTACAACTGCTTGCTGGTATGGAAGAGTTAAAAAACAGAATGCTGCTTTAAGACTTAAGAACGAAACAAGAAAATTCCTAAAACACAGTGCTATCCTGATATTCAATGGTTTTCTAACACATTCATTACTTCTTATTAGGTTGCACTGAATTTTCCAAACAACTGTTAATTTTTTTTTTTTGAGACAAAATCTTGCTATACAGTTAAGGCTGGCCTTGAACTCCCTATAGTCTAGGTTGGCCTTGAACTTGTGGTGATCCTCCTTCCTGTCTCAGCCTCCCAAGAGTTGAGACCACAGGCATGTGCCACTACACCCGGCAAACAATTTTAAATCTGCAGGCAGAAAAAAAAAGAATATTTTTGTATTTTCTCTTACAACTGAAAACTATACAGGAGATGTGTCTGTGACTATCTTCCACCATGTAATACATATGTGTTTATAAAGGCCAATTTTCTTACCCCTCTTTAAAGCATACACACACACACACACACACACACTCATATATTTGGTCTTAAAAACATTACTTACTTAGTGCTCTGGAATGATCAGGGTTTCTAATACCTTTCATTTTTAATCTCTGTAATAGCATGGCTGATGTCAGTTGTCGTACGAGATATACAGACATGGAATAATTCTACAGAGAAAAGATACTCTGTATTAAAGTCTGGAGATAATATTCTCTTTATTTACATAAATACTTAACTAAAAGATCTACTTTCTAAAAATATACAAGACAACTTTTCCAGGAAGGTCAATGACTGGGAAGAAGGAAAAAAGTCAACCAGAATACTTCAAGGAAGATAATGTCACATTTATTCTAAAGGTATTTCTCAATAACATCACTTTAAAACATCTACTGGTACAGCAAGTAGCTTTATTCAGAAGTCTCTTTCTCTCTCGCAGAACTAAGGCCTGAATCCAAGGGTCTTCACACTGACCTACATCCCTAGGCCTTCACATTTGACACAAGGTTTCACTGGTCACTAAATTGCTAATGTTAGGCTCGAATTTGCAATCCTCCCAATCAATCTCCCAGAATGCTGACATTACAGGTATACACTACCATGCACAGCCTTAAACTAAGTTTCTAAATTAGCAAAACCTGCTACCTTAGCGACTACCATAAGAACATACTCTTATATCTACTTATTATCAGATTCCTTGTTTCATCTTATATAACAAAGTGATTATAGTTTCATGTAAAAGTAAGTCTTCTGCAGAAACAAGGCTCCAATACCAATAATCCAAATTAACACTTTTTTAAGCATTTCAATTCTGCAAGAACAGGCCATTTGCTGGATGACTCTAGGGGAATTAATCAAACTCAGTATGAACTCTCTAAGAAAACCCAACAAAACTAGTCCCTAAATGGGCATTTTACTGGGAAAAAGGAAACTATTATAGTATATAAGACACATGAAGAAATGATAAAAATCAAACAACCACACCAGAAAATATTAGCTTCCTAACCTCTTAAATTTGAGAGAAAGAACCTCCTTTAGCTATTTATAGAATTATGAAGAAATATATTATTCCTATTACATGGCAAAACTGTCAACTTTTCAATGTGTTTCATCATTTCTATAAAAATCTATTTGTTATTTGCAGATCTACAATTAGCTTGGTGGTAAAACAACAAAAACTTTTTGCTGTTAATTATGCTCACTTTCTTCAACCTCAGAAGAAGAATATTTCTATGGAACAAAAACACTCAAATTGATGTTCAGAAATTATCTGAAATTTCTTTCCCCATTTTATTACACAATTCTAAAATATAAATTCCCTGTTGTATTAATACCTTATAATTGATGTAATTCCTTTTGAGACTGACAATGAGAAGAATGCCAGGTTCACGAACCTGAAGGTATGCAGGAAATAATTCAAAACGAGCGTTTTTATATAAGATGCCCACTTAGTATTTTAACTATTAGTTGCTTATATAAAGGCAAGAATAGATTATTTCTAATCATGATATAAGTACACTTAACTCTTTCCTTTGAAAACTGATAAAGCTCTGTTCTTTGTTCCTGTTCCTATATACTTATCACCCAAAGCCTCCAGTTTATTAAATATTACTTATATCACCTCACAAAGTATTAAATTATCACCTTAAAGAATATAAATATAAATATAAATATATATATATATAAAAATATATATATATATATTTCCTTTCCCAGAATAGAGACAGTACTCAGGATTCCTCAGAGTTAAAAATTTTCAACCTTAAAAACCTCCTGACCACAATCTCTGAATTGAAAATCACTTCTTTTTAAAGATTATAATCTGAAAATAAAGAGTGAGAGCTGGTATTGCAACAAAAAACAAAATAAATCAACTTTCAGTGGAGGAAACTTACCTTTCCAATTTCGGACGCCCAAGATATAGAAATCTGATTTGGCACGGCTGAAGACAACCTAACTAAAGATGTAATATTCAAGGGCCGTCCAGGGCGCTTCTGTTCAATTCCATTTTTAGGTGGTGGTGCATAGCCCTATAGGCATAGGAAAGAAAAATTACAGTCTCTGTAGGGGAGATCTTGCCTTATTTTGATTGCACTGTGGTATTTTTTTTCTATCTTGGAAATGACAGACCAGAAAAATAGAACAAAACTTCATACTCCATCATTAAGATGAGGTGTTGCAATACTGTTTAGAGTTTTAAGGTAAAGGCCCTAGCTTCAGGGGTATCAACAGCCTAGGTTAGGGACAATGAATCTTTTAGAGATATGTGCCCAAACTGTAACCCAAATCCTACTTATTTATCATGAAGTACCAACAACGCAATTAAAAATGAACACTGAGGTTTTAATTTAGAAAAAAAATGACTCATATTAACATCTTTTGTCTTAAATGAAAGACAACACTTGTGTGTCATAGGTCTGCCACCACTGGACTAGGTTATGGTAACATCTCAAGATGCCAGCCAAAGATGAATAGTGGCAAAGGTATGAAAGGAAATTTAATCAGTATAGCTATACTCGGAAGACAAGGGAACTAGCAGCCCTACTTCTGTCTTTGGAGAATCAACGCTGACAAGAACTTTAGATTTAAATAGGACAAGAATAGGAGAGGGTACCATAAAGCATGCATACAAACGATCTTGGTTAAACTCTAAGTATGGTTAAGTATGGTTAGTGATTATTTCTGGACTAATGCAAAAGTGTCATCACAATCACTGGAAGAGGGACAATTTGGTTCTCTTTGTGGGATGACAGCTCCTTCCTGAGGGAAGGTCTTGGGGTTTTTTTTTTTGGTGGTGGTGGTGGTGGTGGATGGGGGGAATAATTACTTCCTAAACCAAGTCATTCTCTCACTTAGGAGGGCAGTCTCCTTACTGAGTAACTTTCCTGCAATGAAAAACAGGTTCCACTATTCTTAGAAGTTTAGGCCAATGAGGGTGGGAAAGTGCTTAACAGAACACTGTAAAAGCTGGCATCTAAAAGGACTTAGTGACTCTTATATTAATGTCTTCAGTTTTAAAAGGGGGAAGACTACCAGCTTTAGATAAACATTCTTTAGTAACAAGTCTGCCAATATGCAGACTTGTATATAGAGTATAGCAGTAGTCTGACCCAAAGTTTAGGGTAATAAAGGCAACACAAAATGAAGGCTGAGAGGCCAAGCTTTTATCCTGCTATATTACCCATCAAGAATCTATGGTCCTACAAAAAAATGCTTTTGGGAAAAGCAACTTCTAAAACTTTGTTACAGTATTAACTATGAATCTTCTTCCTTTAAACAGGAAATCAAGCTTTGCAGATAAAGCTGAAACTCTCATGACTCATCTTAGGAGGCCCCTTTCACAATGTACTCATGTACTAAGATGGGGAGAAAAGAAAGCAAACTTTGCAAATTAAAACAAGGAATGCATTAATAAATTTCAAAAGTACTACTGAGATCTTGTAAATGACAAAAATGTTACCACTGCCTTTTCTGAGAACACAAATAGCTTTAAAAATAGATCTAGTCAATAAACAAAAACCATCACTAATTTAGTTAGCATTAAATTGACTTGCCTTTCTTCTAAATAGGAAACACTCCTGTTTTGATTCACAGTATAAGTGATTTTCATTTACCACAAGGTTTTTCATACCGATTTTCAAAACCATTGTTTGACATTTAAACTGCAGTAACACCTACCTAATGAAAAAGACACTGTATTTCACTGACTATATTATGTCGTAGATGTAATTTAATTATACACCACTGAAAGTGGTATATAATTAAAAAACACTGAAGCTAATGATCTATCTTAATGTTATGGTTACTTAATCTGTAAGCATGGGAAGGAAACGAACAAAATTTATTGACATTGACACTGTTTTAGTACATAATTTACTGACACTTTTAGGACATAAATAATCTTTAGAATCACTTTTAACTTGGTCATCAAGTGAAATATTTGTCAAAAATGATTGTATCACAGGTAAGCAACACTGTAACAAATAATATAATCTTTATATTTCATTAATGTCTCTGAGTTTCCTTCAGGTTGGAGATATACTTACCTGCATGTATAAATACTAATACAATCTGGAACTTGCAAGAAACATAGAAGTTTACAGAAAGAACCAGGACTCACACACCTTTCTCTCAATCTGTCCTTAAATTGTCTGTTGCCCATTGAAGATCATGCAGCTAACCAACCATGTCTGAAGAATAGCAGTAAAGCTATACAAGTACAGGGAATAACAAAACATCACAGCTTCCATCCAGTCATCAAGGACTTTTAAGATATTTGTGAACTGCAATGCTGAATTATACACTACACCACAAAATTTGGTGCTGGTCGTGTGTATGACAGAGATAAGAACACAAGCAAGTTGTCTGCAACTTAGGAACATCCTTCATTATCTCATAAAAGGATAGTTTTATTAAGGGGTAATTCATATAATTATCTACAACTTGCAACAAAAAATCTTAAAAATCAAATTCATTTGAACATGAGAGTAAAACACAAAAAGAAAAACTTGCATTATAGTATGGAAATGGGAGAGTGTATGTGTGTACAAGAGGGCTATGTACACCTACATTTGCTAATGAGGACTACAATAGGGAAAAAGAGACTCACTATAAAATCAATGAAAAACAAATACAAAGAATACCAATACTAGTGTTTAGGCAAATAGAAATGCAAACTGTTTTTATTCTTGTTTGTTTTGGGCCTTAGAAAATAACTCTGCCCTTTGGTGTACCTACTGAGAGGTTAACCAAGTAACAACTGTGCATGACCTGCCAAGATAATAAAATTACCTCATAACCTAGCTAAACATGAAATTTGTAAATTATAATTTGAGTCATAAGACATCATAATAGCACAGAAGGGAGGAATGAAAGTCCAGAGAGTAACAATGAGTATAAGAATGTGTGTTAGCACTGAAGACTTAAAAAAATAAAGAACCAACAAATCAAAGAGTTGGTCCTTTGAAAAATTAACTAGTAAGTGACAAACTTAGTCAACCTTATCCAAAAAAAAGCAAAGACACAAACACACACAATGAGGAATGAAAAAGGTAAATCACAACAGACCATGCGCAAGTCCAGAGGAGCATCTGTATCTACTTTGAAAAGTTGTATTCTAATGAGTTGGAAAATACAGAAGAAATGGATAGATTACTTGATACATATAAATTACCAAAGCTGAATCAAAAAAGATATAAACATCCTAAATAAACCAATATCAATCAATGAAATGGAAAGTACAGTTAAAAACCTGCAACAAAGAAAAGCTCAGGCTGACAGATTCACGGCTGAATTCAAGAAATTTAGAGAAGACACCACTACTACTCAAATTCTTAATGAAATTCAACAGGAAGCAATACTCCCAAACTGTTTGCTGGAAAAAATCATTACCCTGATACCAAAACCTGACAAAGACTCACCTAACAAAGGGAATTACAGGCCAATTTTTCAAATGAACATAGATCCCAAAATCCTCAATAAAATACTGGGAAAAGAATACAGCAAATAGTGAAGATTACACACCATGATCAACTAGGATTCACTCCCGGGACACAAGGGTGGTTCAACATACACAAATCAATAAATATAACACAACATATTAACAGAGCCAAGGAAAACAATCGTATGATCATCTTAACAGATGCAGAAAAAGCTTCCGACGAAGTCCAGCACCCATTCATGATAAGAACTCTCAGAAAATTGGAGTAGATGGTCTTTATCTCAATCTGATAAAAGCCATCTATGACAAACCAACAGCCAACGTCATACTAAAAGGTCAAAAACTGAAACTTTCTCTCAAAAACCAGGAACAAGACAAGGATGTCCACTGTCCTCATTCTTACTCAACGTATTTCTAAAAGTTTACCTGGAGCAAGAGAAAGAAATAAAAGGAATAAAGACGGAAAAGGAAGGAGTTAAAATTTATTTGTAGATGACATGATATTCTACTTAAAAGACCCCAAAAACTCCACCATAAGACTACTAGATTTCATAGGCAAATTCAGTAACATATCTAGCTACAAAGTTTAAACTCAAAAATCAATAGCCTTTTGGTACACCAGTAACAAACTAACTGAGAGAAAATCAGGACAACAACATCCTTTACAATAGCATCCAAAAAAAAAAAAAAAAAAAAGAAATACCTAGGAATCACTCTAACAAAGGATGTTAAAGATCTCTACAATGAAAACTACAGTACTCTGAAAAAAGGAGATTGAAGAGGCTATTAGAAAATGGACAGATATTCTGTGCTGCTGGGTAGGAAGAATCAATATAGGGAAAATGGCCATACTTCTGAAGCTGTTATACAGATTCAATGCAATCTCAAACAAAATTCTAATAGCATATCTCACAGAATTAAGAGAAAGCAATCCTAAAATTCTTTTGGAACCAGAAGAGACCTAGAATAACAAAGGCAACCCTGGGCAACAGAGAGAAGTGAGAGGGCATCACAATCCCTGACTTGAAATTATATTATCAAGCTACTGTGATTTAAAAAAAAAAAAAAAAGTGGGGGGGGGGCACACACAGATCTGAAGATCAATGGAACAAAACAGAGGATGCAGAAGTAACTCCAAACACACTAAAGCCACCTTATCTTTGACAAATGTAGCAAACACATTCACTGGAAGAAAGCCTCTTTAATATACAAATGTTGCTGGAAAAACTGGCTCTACACATGCTAAAAATTAAAACTGGACCTGTATCCTTCACCAAGAACTAAGCTAAAATCAGAATGGACCAAAGATTTTAATATTAAAATAGAAACAATAAATCTGATGGAAGAGAAAACAAGTGAAACTCTTACTGACCCTAGTGTAGGCAAAGACTACAAACAAAACCTTGACTGCAAAGGAACTATCACAAAGAATCAACAATTGGGTGATTTCACCTTACAGAAAAGCTTTTTTGCACAGCAAGGGAAACCAACAGAGTGAAGAGACAATCCACAAAGTGGGAGAAAATGTATGCTACCTGTACCTCAAGGGATTACTATTGAGAATATAAAGAACTCAAAAACAATCAATTC